GAGTTAATGCAGAGAAGTCGATCAGAAACTGTCAATATGTGAGACAGGATATATGAAAAAGTAACATGCTGACTGGCTTAAACCTCATCTCGTCTAGAATTACCCAGGATTCAGATGAATCATCCAGTTTACCTTGTTGGGATGCACAGCACGTCTCAAATTCTCCATCCATTTGTCTCTCTCGGCAGCCGACCGACATGAGAAGCATTTGCTTCCTGTTGAAGTAGTTACCTGCAATTACAAATTACAATTAACAAATTTGTGGATAAGTGCATTAAGCGAGCTAGAAAGGACTGAAATGCAGATCGGGAGATGGTGGATGTGAGCAGAGAGATCCACTGAACGTTACAGCACTCAAGCGTTTCCCAGGAGTGGAGAGCAATTACATTTGGAGGAAGAATAAAACTCTCAAATAGCCCTATCAGACAGAGCACACTTAGATCTAACATATTTGCAGGATCACATGTGATATCAGAGAGTTGAGATACATGCATAGGCCTTTTACAAATGTTCTTTTCATATCCAAAATTTATCCTGAAAAGACCATCTGCTCACAGCAACACAATCCAGGTGACAACAAAAGTACTGGACCACGTTTGAATATAGAGGGGTGAATTCACTAAACAGTTGCGAGATTTTTGCATGCTGTGTTTCAGAACAAAAACAGCTCTAATTTGAAAACCGATCTAGTTTAAGCAGGCATTATCTGCACTGATGTAACGCAGCTTCTTCTTCTATTTATTTGAAATAAATATTTTAAATAAGTAATTAGAAAAATGAAGAAGTAAATATTAAATAAAAAAATAAGTAATTACAATTAAATTAGAATGTAAACTATATTTTAATTGTGAAATTAATAGTGAAATATAATAAAAAATAAAATACATTTAAATTATTTATATTTAAAGGTATGGTAGGCGATTTCTGAAAGGCTAGCAATAGCAAGTTAGCTTTGAAAGCAAGATCCCCACCCTCCCTGCATAATCACGCTGCAAAGCCACACCTCGCACAAAACACACGAATGCGCTCAGACAGAGCGGAGACTAATCTGAGATACGATGAGAGATGGCGTTGGTGGAGGATTGAATGCAACGCTGTCAGATTACCTCATGTCTCCATCACCGGTGAGAAAACATTACAGTATAAAGCGCATTATATTACAATAATAGCGCCTTTCACTCTCACTGGAACGCACTGATGACGTATCATGTCTGCGCAAACAGGGTGCACAGAGGTATGCAAATACATATTTTGACAGGCAGGCAGGACAGCCTATCGTAATGTTCGGAACGAACATTTTGATTGGACGAACATTTTATGGTCCTGCGCCTTCCACAATCGATATAAATACATAGAAATAAATTTAGACAACTTAACTTAATGAGTGCTTTCGAAATGTGAAGAGACCAGCATAACAAAAAATGTTTTTGAACCAAATCAACTACCCTGCCTTTAAATAATTTAAATATAATAGATTACATTTAAACTGAAATAAATATTTAAAATAAGTAACAAATATTAAACAAAAATAAATAATTGTAAAATATTTAAATTTAAATATCATTTGAAATATAGATATTTTAAATAAGTAGAGTGCAAAATGTAATTAAATATAAAATAAAACTAAAAATGAACAAAATTAAGTAATAGCTACGGTGAGCGTGATTTGACCAAGTACAACATGTATCAACATCCTTGTTGATCCTGGAACATCATTCCCAATCAACCAATCAGAATTGAGAGATAACTTTTCAGAAAATGCCAGTTTTAGGCTTACAATCAGGATTAGGTGCTTCTACACCCTTGTTAATGAGCTACCATTTCCCTCTGATTTTAGGAATAAATTATGGGTAAGGTTAGGTTTAGGGGTAGGGATTGGGATTGGGTTAAATCTATATATAGATTATCTTATGGCTACATTTTCACTTAGGCTACTCATGAAGAAATTAATTATATTATTAATTGTTATAATTAAAGTTTGTGGTACGTATAACAGAGCGAAATAAAACTGCTCAGCGAAACAGGATTTTATCTAAACAACGTTTGGGTCACCAACATTCAATTAGTTCTTCATCTTGTACTTTAAATACGATACATTACAGGTTTAACAGTGTATTGTAATCACGCCGTTGAATATAATGACTGTACGGCAGCTGCTTGCGTTCTTTTGTCGCGTCGCGCGCTCGTAGACACGGTGTTCAGCTCTACATGTCTTTCCACATCAAAGGGAAATCACACAAGTTCCAACAGTTCAGCGGTGGGAGGCTGCCAGCGCTTGAAAGGATCATTCGCCTCCAATGCACCAAAGCAAACAAACACTCTTGCCCTCGGAAGTTGCATTTCCATAAACCGCTCTATGGATAAAAAGCGTCCTTGAGTGCCGTCGGTGTTGTTTGCGATTAAGCTCGATATGTCTGAAAATCAGCCTCTTTACGCTCTAGTTTTCTTAACTTCACTCTTCAGCTCGGCATGCTCACAGGGGACACGATTCGTTTATTCAGCTGCCCTAGATGCGGATGGGAGATACAACATTAAGTGGGGGTTTGACGAGTCCACGATAACTTTTGAAGTAGAAGTGGAAACGAGGGGATATATAGGATTCGGTTTGTCACCGACCGGTGCGATGTCCTCGTCTGATATCGTGATAGGTGGTGTGCTCAACGGAAGTCCATATCTGCTGGTAAGTGTGCACACACCTTTTAGGTTTGAATGCAAATCACATTCAATACTGCTTACACAGTTAGAGAACGCTGACTCACAATTTAAAACTTGTCTGCTGCATTTGATTTCTGCAAATTATTTGCTGGATTGATTATTATCGTTTCTGTTTGAAGTACTGAAATGATTCAAGTCATTTGACTCTTATTTATTTTTCTAACAAAACTAGTTTGGGATGGATCTATGATGAATAATTGTAATAAAATAAAAAATAAAATTAACAACATGTTTGCTTCCATCCAATTAATTTCTACAACAATAATAGGTAAAAATAAATAAATAAACAAACTTTTTTTCCTATCTCATAGTGTCACTGTGCATTCATCAGGAAACAACACAGCTCACACTTCACAGGCATTTGGATAATTACTCAATTACTTACTTACAGCCATGCATTGTCATATGGGCAACACACAGCAATTTAAACTTTACAATTAGACATAAATCCCAAAACATGAAAATTAATTTGCACTCATTTGGATCACAAAACATCTATATGGATTGTGGTTGCAAAACTATATTGTTTATATATTGATATAATTTGTCATTATTACTTGACTTTCATCATTTTTGTTACAGTAAACATGCTATGATCATAGAGTTTATTCTAAAATTGTGTTTTTCAAGAGTGTGAGCAACATTAAAGACCACTGTCGAACATTTAAATCTGCAGTGATAGCTTTTTGTGTCCTGAAATCTATTGCAATGAGATCATCCACTGACCCAATGACCTGACTACAATCAGCTTCCCTGTTGTGACCTGGATTTTATTCAGACAGTACTCAAATAAACACTACTGTTTCAAATGCAAGCAGGTCAATATTTAAATACATCCACACCTGCTGTCCATATTCTCTGCACACTATAATCTCCATCCAGCTGTAAACTGTATGATGTATACAATAGAAGTTTATGATTAGTTTTCAGCACAGCACTGTTCATCAGCATTGTGTAATGAAGGCTCATTTATATCGATACATTTCTGTTTTAGTTTTGTAGGCATGAGTCATGACATGTTTTGTTCCAAAACATATTCACACTTGTGTCTGATGTATTGGGGGAAAAAATAGGACATTTGCCAGTGCAGCTAACCAAACATTTAGATCAAAGGTTATCAAATGTGACCACATGCACATGCATTTGCTCCATAAAAATACCTTCTTTTCTGATTCAGACTCAAAATGTTCAAACATGAGATAAACTAACTTCGTTCCTCCTCATTCTGCTCAGGACTACTATACAGACTCAAATAGAAAGGTCCATAAAGATGCGCTGCAGAGCTATCAGCTGCTGTACGGCAGAGAGAATGACACACATACTGTCCTGGCTTTCAGCAGAAACCTCCAGACCTGTGATGACAATGACAAAGTCATTACGGTAGGTTTACCTGCATGCATCATTACATCTGGTTCCAAAAGTCTAAAAGAAACATCAGCGGCAAGGTTTCTTTATCCAGTTTTTTGGAGCATGCACAAAACCAAAGCTTTTTAACTGGACTCTCGGTTGTAATTATAGTTTCAGCACTTTGCCTTTTGTTCGGGGGGGAAACAATAGTACAGTGTTTTATTAAGGAGTTAAATAAACTCACTTCCCTAAAACGTTGTCAAATTATTACTTATATAAGAAGTCTCTTGCACTTAAGTCTACAATTACCCATAATTTGTTACTCCGCAGGGCAGTACAGTGAGAGTGATCTGGGCGTTCCATGCGGAGGACGTGGGAGTGTCAGGACCAGTCTACCATGGGACGAACAGAGGCAGAAAGAGTCTGCGATTACTCAACCCTGGAACCAGCTCCAGCATCCCAGCAGGAACAGCTTTCTTTGACCTTCAAAACGAGGAGGTGAGGAAAGTTCATTCAGCAGACTGCTGGAGTGTTTGATGAGCTAGGAGTGACAGAGAACTTATTAGCCCTAGGCACTGTTATACCTACTGTTTCATCTATTTTTGCATGCTTAGGAATCAAGGTCCTTGGTTACATATGAATCCTTTTTAAATAAAGACCCTTTTACTTCCTGATTGGGTATGTTGAATGAAAACAAGGCCCCTTTTATGCCTGTGGGATACTGCCAAACACCAGATTTTATAAGAGTGTACATACTTACAACCACATAACAAATACTCAGCATTGAATAGGAAAAAAAACAGGAAACTGGATTAATAAAATGCCCACGCTCTCCAGTCCACAATGGAATACTTCTGCTTGTCGCTGACTGCTACATTTAACTGTTTTGTGACTGATGCAAACCTTTTATCCAAAACTTTAACATATTCAAATATTGTAGGTTCCTGTACCTCATAAGGATACAACATACTGGTGTCAGATCTTTAAATTTCCAGAGCTGAAGAAGAAACATCATATAATCAGAGTGAGTAAAAAAAACTCTTTACATTTTAAAGCATGCCCATCTTAATCAAATAATAAAGTTTAAAAAGATTTACATTCATTCAAGCCATGATATACAGTAACTATTATTCCAGAGATGCATGCTTAAGAAATTGCAGGCTTGCATATTGCCAAATAAACGCTCCCTGTTGTGAAGCACCTTCTACAATCTCAGTTCACTTCTTCCGTACTTACATTTATGGGCTTTCATGAAGCTTGTGCATTTTCCTCTGTCTACAGTTTTAAACAGATTCCTGTCAATCGAGTACTGTAATTAATTGATATAATCTTTATCAAATGTACATGCCAAGAAAATGTAGATAAGACTAGATTATCACAGTGTTGGGGCAGCTACTGACTGTAGCTTGCAAGCTACAAGACAATCACAGTTTGAAGCAGTTCAACTTCAGTCAAGCTTATGTTTTAGCTAAAGGTAGCTAGCTACACTAAAATATATATTTGCTGATACAATAACAATAATTTACATAACTAAATCAGAAAGATAGTACAGCAACTCGAATTAGTGAATCATTTTTGGGAATCTGTTTATTTCTGGAAGAACAGATTCCCTCAAATGTTTTTCCGATGCAACATATGTGAAGGAGGACCAATGCGAAACTAATTCACAAGAATTAATCAAACGTTACAATGCATCTGTCAAATGTATGTGGGTCAAAGGCATTAAGATGTCCGCATCAAAAGAAATTTACAAAAGTGATTTTATGTCCATAGAAAGCACATTAAATGTAAGTGTCTACTTTTAAGGTTTCAAATAAGTTTTTGGAGAATAAAATGTCAAAATTTGGTTGAAATAATGTTACACAGATTTTTTTTGGGGGGGGGGATGGACAACAACAATTTAAAGCAGTATTAGGGGCCGTTCACATGTCGCGCCTAAAAACGCGTGGAAAACGCTAGGCGCGCCGCTTTCTGCTTTTTCCCAAAGCGTTCGGGCGCTTGCGCTCCGGAGGCGTCTGCCGTTGCTAAGCAACCTTGACCTGCGCTGTCCATGAAGACGCGGAAGTTTCAGCAAAGTGTAAATGGATTTGCAGCACTAAAAATCGCTTGCAGTAGCTCTACTACTAAACTTCTTTAAAAATGGCTATCCCCGTACAGCTATGAAAATCGCTTGCAGTAGCTCTACTACTAAATTTATTTAAAAAATGGCTATCCCTGTACAGCTATGATCAGCTGTTCCTTCATCTTGGCTGAGCTTTCAATGTTGTTACGGGAAAGGATGAAGCTGATTGGTTGGTTCTTGTCACATGACCCGCGGTGCGCTTGCGGCATTCTGAAAAGTTGAAATGTGTTTATCTCGATGCGGCGCGGTCGCGCCTGGAAAAAATGAGCGCGTCGCACCGCATGCACGTCGCGACCGCGTCGCTCCATTATGAGCGCGCCTGCCGCGCGTCTACATTTGAATAACGAACTTGAGCGCGCAAAAGACGCGATATGTGAACGGCCCCTTACACTTATTGTTTTTATGCTTAAACCCTTTTTCGTCTTTGACCCATGTTCTGTTTTGGTTTTGTTCTAGTTTTCCTTGTTTGACCTAGTTTCCTTCGTTCCTATTTTCCTGCCACTAGTTTGTTATCTTAGTTACTCATTCATTTGATTAGTGTCTGCACCTGTTTGATTGGTTTGTTTCAGTGTATTTAAGCCCTGTGTTTTCTTCTGTTCCTTGTCAGTTCTCGTTACGTGTAACCTGGTCATTCTGTTCAGTACGTCGCGACCGCGTCGCTCCATTATGAGCGCGCCTGCCGCGCGTCTACATTTGAATAACGAACTTGAGCGCGCAAAAGACGCGATATGTGAACGGCCCCTTACACTTATTGTTTTCCCTGTGTTTTCTTCTGTTCCTTGTCAGTTCTCGTTACGTGTAACCTGGTCATTCTGTTCAGTTCCTGTTTCCAGGAGTTTGAGTATATTAAACTACCGTATTGACCCGAATATAAGACGATGTTTTTTTTCTTGGAAATACATCTGAAAAAACGCGGTCGTCTTATATTCAGGGTCTAGACTTTGACATGTCAATAATACACCCACAACACTAGGTGGCGCCAAATATGCAGTCGTCTTATAATCGGGGTCGTCTTATATTCGGGCCAATACGGTAATTGCTATATTTGAGAATGAATCAGATCCAACTCTGTGATCTTAACAGATTTAATCAGTGTCAGTGCGAATGCTGAACGCAGTTTTGGTAAGCGTGTTTGATTATTCTTTCAGCATTTAATAGCAACAGAAGCTATTATGAAAATTGCTGAACTACTTTCATTTCAAAAAATGGCATGTTTTACCTCATATTGGTTGTTTTTACATAGTTTATTTTGCTATAGTATCTTGTCACCTGCGTCGGTTTCTTTTTTTGCTTCTTTTTTTGTCTCACCTGCTTATTATTGTCTTTTGCAGCTGCTATTTGTAGATCAGACATGTTACTGAAATTATACTCTCTGACCCAGATAAAAGAGTCTTCGCATAACTAAGCTTTTGAAGTTTTCTTAATTAGAGGCAGAATAGCTACTTTAATCATATGATAAAATACTACATTAAGCATCATCCTTTCAGGCTAATTTTTCAGATGCACTAACCTTTAAAGGGGTCATATGATGCGATTTCATTTTTTCCTTTCTCTTTGGAGTGTTACAAGCTCTTGGTGCATAAAGAAGATCTGTAAAGTTGCAAAGACTAAAGTCTCAAATCCAAAATTGTTGTAGTCACCATTTTGTGCCCATGTAAAATTCACCTGTGGAAAGACAGGCATGCATTCATCTCCATGAATTCATAACTATGGCTACAGCTCCACTTTTTTAGCGAAAAGATAAGCGCTGAACATGCAGAAGTGAGCAGTTCACAGTATGAATGTAACCCATTTAGTTTGCTGCAGTGTTCAGTATGTAATGCGCCGGATACAAAGACTCTACAGCGAATAGACTTGTGCGTAGTCTGTGTTTCACAAGATGATGAAACATACAGACAAGTGCACACTTACACATTCTCACATTCACTAGATGCATGTAGTTTTTAATCGTGGCCTAAATATTGCTTGGGTACATTTAAATGGACCATGTTTGAGTTATTACATTTAGCCTCCATTTAATCTGGCATTAACATCAACTGAACACAAATCAGTTGAAACCAACAAGTGAATAATTATTGTGACCCCTCTTCGCCCTCTTTTCCTGTCCTCTCTGCATACAGTAGCCTGGAATTCGGAAAGCTCCAGGCTGTTAGTCAGATGCCAGCAGCTGCCCCATAACCACAGCAGTGTCTGGATGTTTTCTGCTCTGTTCCCACTCAGTTTCATGGAGCAGATGTTGAACTGTCAAACAGAAGCAGATTTTCCAGACACTGCTCTCACTGTCTATATTCAGGCCATATTGTCACTGTCCTTATTCAGTCAACCTCATGCTATGTGATGCCAGAAGAGGCTGTCTGGGTGTACTTTATACAGTATGGTGCTACTAAGATCCACAAATTTGGTGTAGGATTTACTTTAGAACAATTTTTACTCAGAAATGACTAGTAAACTAAGAAACGCATTGAATTAAACATGAAATTGTGAAACATAAAGGCTTGTAAAATGTGCTCTAATAATCATTGTAAAAAAAAAAAAATTCCTTTTATTCTTTATTTGCTTTGGCATATTACAGATGATTTACTAAGAATAAATGCATAAATAGCCTCGTGCAAATATGCACATGCGTATTTTAAAATCGGGTTGTGCTAGTGGTAATTGTCACAAATGTTTGTCATCCAGCTCATTTTCTGGGCTGTGATGAGCAATTTACCAGAATACCCCAGTGCGACATTTCTGAATGATTCAGAATGAGATGACTTCTCAGTGACAAAATGTTATTACTTTTATAGCACCCTTTTGATTAACATCAATACAGCCATGTGCAAGAAATCATAATGGTTGATGTTTTACAGTATAATGACAACATTAGCATTATATGAATCGAAAGATCTGAATCTGTGATGGTTTAGATGGATGGATCAGACATGCTGTTATTGGTTACAAACAACAGAATGCTACTACACAATAAGCTAAATGTTATTAGATTTTGTGGCTTCAAAACAAAATGGCTCCCAATGGGTAAAAAAATAGAAGGTGGAAGGGAAATAAAGGAATGTATGAATATTTATTCAGCCACTGTTTGGCCCAGGGTCCCACTGCTTCAGGCAGAGACCCCTGGAAGGGCAGGACACAGTAGGAAATGCTTTTATTTAGAATTCCAGTTCCGACAGAAGAAGCCCACTGTGAGAAGAAAAATAATTCTAAAATCCCCCACTTCCTATTCCAGAGATATCCAAGCTAGTTTTAGCTCAACAATCCACAAACACAGAGTTTTCTTGTAGAGGATCAAAATAGAGTGGTTTAAAAAGATAACCTACTTCTATCAAATCCTTATGGCTGATCCCTTTATCAAAGCTTGGAACAGTGTAGTGGAGCGTGTTCTTGTATTGGATTAAATAACTTCTCAGATTCATTTAATTGCAACTAAAGCAATACTTTCACTATATTATATGCACTGCTGTACAAAAGTTTGGAATTAGGTATTTTAAGAAATTACTATTTTTAATAAACAGGAAAACATTAAAACAAAAGTGACAGTAATAAATAAATTCAGTTTTGCCGCCACAGGAATTAAAACAGATTACAAAAAGATAACAGATATTTTTAAACGTCATAATAATTCACAATAGTACTTTTTACTGTATTTTTGATCACATAAATTCGTCATGGCTGAGTATGAGAGACTTCTTTCAAAAGCATTTAAAAATCGTACAAACCCCAAGCTTTTGAATGGTAGTGTACATCAACTAAATATTAATCAGGGCTGGGTTAAATTCAGAATTTATGTAAGAATTTGTTGTTGAACTGGAATTTGAATTGGTGTAATCAAAAGAAAATTGAATTTACTGATATGTGTGACAAAATATAAACAATGGCATTAATAATTTGGACTAATTAAGTCTGTTCATTCTCTGATATGCAGATTACAAATTCAACACTGTCAAAATTTTGCCATATATTAATATAGCCATAAAAATAAATAATTTTACCAAACAGCAGCACAAAATGTTCAACACATAGTTTGACATATTTATTGACATTTATGATATAATTTTCAGATTCAATCTATAACTATATAAATGCACTAATAATAAAAAAATACATTTCATAATCATTTAGTCCTTCATAATAAGGTTTTCTGTACTGCTAAGTGAAATTTTACATATTTGAATTTAATACCCTTTTAATTCCTTAAATTCAAATTCAAACAATTCTGCATCCTATCTCAGTTCAAATTCAGAAATGGAATTGGAATAGAAAAGGCATTCTCAATTCAATTCTGAGAGCGCACAGCCCTGCTATTCATATTCCTCTCTGTTTGTTGTTGTTTTCAGATAGAGCCAATGATTCAGAAGGGTCATGGGAATCTGGTTCATCACATTCTGCTCTACCAGTGCGACAGCAATCTGAACAAGAGTGAGATCAACAGAGGACATGAATGCTACCATCCAAATATGCCAGACTCCTTCTTCACCTGTGAAACCGTCCTGTTCGCTTGGGCTATTGGGGGAGAGGTGGTCATTTCATATTCATTTAAAGTTCATATTCATTCTAATAATAAAAAGAGTTTCAGATATTGAATAGAAACTATTTTTATCCATTGTAGGGCTTCACCTACCCTCCACATGCTGGAATGTCTATAGGAACCTCAATAGACCCAGTCTATGTACAGATGGAGATTCACTTCGATAACCCATCTTTGCAAAGAGGTATTGTATGTTATGATACACTTCAACGGTTTAAAACCTGCCTCATTTGCTGCCCTAAGTGACATAAGACATGACTAAGTCCTGTGACTTTTTGTGTCGTTTATTGTATTTTATGTGTCTGTGCATGAAGTGATCTGTAGTCTCCATGGTATATTACAGTGATTTTCAGCTACTAAATAATGAGTTTTTCTGTAAGGGTTGAGTCGTGAACTTCAGAGCTGCTTCAGAGCTGGGTTTTGGTCTCACCACAGGTATAGTGGACAGTTCAGGCCTGCGTTTGTACTACAGCCCCAGCCTGAGGCGCTATGATGCTGGGGTCATCGAGACAGGAGTGTGGGTCAGTCTCTACCACATGCTGCCCCCAGGCATGCAGGATTATATTACAGAAGGACACTGCACACAGGAGTGTCTCCAAGAGGTGGGACCGCAAAAAATAAATAAATAAATAATACCCAGGAATTATTGTGGTTACACTCCATTTACACTTTATACGTTCATATTTGAGACCTACACTACTACTGAAACATTTGAAATCACTATGAAAGAAATCAATACTCAGGATGCATTAAATTACAGTAAAGACTTATATTATTACAAATGGCTATTTATGTAAATAAACACTGTTCTAAAATACTTTTATGCTCACCAAGGCTGTGTTGATTTGATCAAAATAGATTAAAAATAGTATTATTGTTTAATATTATTACAATTTAAAATAATAAAACATTTTAATATATTTATAATGTAATTTATTCCTATGATGGCAAAGCTGAATTTTCATCAGCCATTTCTCCAGTTTTCAGTGTCACGTGATTTTTTTCAGAAATTATTCTAATATGCTGATTTGCTGCTGAAGTAACATTTCTTCTTATTTGAAATAGAAATATTTTGTGTCATTATAAGTATAATTACTGTCACTTTTGATCAATTTAATGCATACTTGCTGAATAAAAGTATTAATTTCTTTTTTTTTTTTTTATTCCAAATGGTAGTGAAGAAAACTTGAAATATTACAATAGTTATTTCAACAATTTTTTACCAATCAAATCAAATTAAAACTATTAAGTTTCTTCAAAAAGATAAAAATGTCTTAGTAATTCCTAACTTTTGAATGCTAGTGCAAGTTTCTCAAAACCCAGACCCAGAAAAAAATAAGAGTATAACATGTGTCTCTTTTCCTGTAAGTCATTAGACAGCGAGATGCCCAGTGGAATTCATGTGTTTGCAGTTCTGCTCCATGCTCACCTGGCAGGACGGGCTATCAGAGCCAGACATTTCCGCCAGCAGGTCGAGCTCCAGCCACTAGCCTCAGATGATCAGTTTGATTTCAACTTCCAGGAGTTCCAGCCACTCAGCCAGGAGAGGATCATCCTGCCTGTCAGTCAGAGTCCATTTCAGTTTCATAATCTTCATTGCTCCATCTGAGGGTGAAATTGATGTTGCATTAATCATCAGATACAGTGAACCTCACAGTTTACGTTACTGATTTATGGAAAACCTAGAAATAGCAGGGAATTTCAAAATGGTGAATTCTAGGCCTGGAAAAGTCATGGAAAAATCAAATGGGCAAAAGGTGTGGCTGTCTGAGGGACATAAGTACAGTCTGTTCAATATATCGTAGTGGTGTGTACCTGGGTGTCAATAGTGGTTAATAACAATAAAATCTGTTCCCACAAATTTCCAGGCAATATAAGAACTCCAGAAATCATGGGTTATTAAATTTA